AGCCAGCATCCCTAGAGACTCAGTTATTGCAGAATTGTTTTGCATGCTGATTAATTTTAAAACCCTACATAAGTAATCTTTTCGAACCAAAAACGCATTTCGGAATTTCGGTTGACATCTCATGAGTTAGCCCACCTACTGTATTTACTTAAACCTTTAGATGAAGGACGCTTTTGAAGGCTACGATTGGCAAAATCTAGCGATATTTGACTTCCGTTACAGAAGGTCAGGTGGAACTTGTGTTCTGCCTATCCAAATTAAAACCAGCCACAGTGCCTTAGGCTTTAATGCTCAAATTATAGCTAACACGCTTTTTGTCTTCTCATTCATTTTTATTTATATAAATAGGGTCTGTGTGAGCCTCAGTCAACTTTGACGCATGGGGGATGATTGACTCCCGTTTGGGGCGTTTGCTGCAACGTGTTTTCTGGTTTTCGCTCGCTAAGAGCAATGAGAACACCAGACAATGACAACAGAATGCCACTGGTAGACACCAATACTCGTTGTCAGAATGTTCGTCTTCTCCATCAAACGGTCACTCTTCCAGTCAAGCTACCCTGACCAAAATATTCCGCTGCCCCTCTAACTAAGAGCCAAATTTGGCTTAGGCGGCAGCGCCTCGCCGAAAGCAGGCTCCTTCACTTGTGTATGTGATAACTATCCCAACGTCTAGCGAATTCTCAAAAATGCCACAAACACCATCTAAGGACTTTTTGTACCTCTATCTGAGGTCTCTTAGAGGCATTCAAAATAAAAAGTCCACCAATTGCTTAAGGCCTTGTAAATCGTTGCTTGAAACTTGTGAACCTAACATAGTCCGAAGCACCCGAAAGTTTTGGGCAGATAACCGTAAAAGATGCCCATTTCCCACTGTATTTTACATCATTCGAACAATTAAATATGCATTTGCCTACTCAGTAGCATAGAATAGAGACGGGTAGGTACGAAGAGAACTTATTCCCCCAGCAGTAAATTCAGGGAAGTATTTGGTGAGAAGAGTCTTTGACAGAGATCCTGGATAGACCAGATCTGACCTATTCGTCTTTTGTCCTGGTTGCCAGTCCTCTACGCCCAAACCATGCGTCGGGACGATTCAGGGTTAAGACACTAGTGCACGAAGGCGCCGCCCCACTCCGCGCCAGTCAGCTGGGCCTGGTCCCGCCACTGGTTTTTATGACTCTGTCTTGACATCCGGCTCAGACGGGCGAGATATGAGAGGGCGGGTTAGATTCTGCACAAATCTGCTATCACTATAGACTAATTCTTGCGAAAGTCACTGTCCCCACGTCCACCCGCACATGGCAGACATTGTCGGTAGTGATGGTCGAACTGTCGTTTAATTTTACGAAAGTTTGTTTCCAACGATGGGCCATCTGGCAAAACAGGATCAATGTTGCCTGCCGCAGGTAGAGCAGCTTTGTGTACCCAAGCGGCTTTTGACGAAAGATTTTCAACTGTGGACCAATCGAATGCAGCCTAGTCCACATTTTAATGCAGCGCATGCACTCACATGTCAGGCAATCAGCGCCAATTGCCGGTGAGTTGCATGAGTTAGCTCCTCAGCAGTGAATCAATGATGCCCTTGTCGTTAACCATAGAGTAATCACTTTTGCCGTATATTACGATTAGCAAGTGCGTCTGCGGATAAAGCGAATTCATGGCATACAATCCAATTCGCTTTGAGGAGATCGGATTTAATTTTGGATTTGTGCCAATAAATCCCAACTCACGCCGAGGATACTATGTTGTCTATAATCTCTTCAAGGAGCGTATGGAGGAGGGTGGATCACTGGTACTCATCAGAGGCAATGAGGACAAAATCGTGCTGAAAGATATTGAAGGGCCGGTAGATGAGAGAGAAAAGGTGACCATATTCAGCCCTGACATTACCAGCTTCTACAAATTCAATCTGAGCCACAAGCTTGTAGGCTTTAGCATTCAAGCCTATCGACGGGCTAAGACGGGCTACTGGTTTTTGGCCTTCGAAAGGGAGGGCCAGTTGCAGGCCTTTTGTGACTTCCTCTCCTGGGTTATTTACGGAAAACCGCCGAGCAGAAGGAAGGCCATTCGTCATACCTATCGTCCGGTGTCGCGTGGACGCTACCCAGTCCGACAGTCACATGCATCCTCGCGCTCACGTCACTACTCCTATGACTCTTATTACTGCTCAAGTTGTGAACGTCCACGACCCCAACGTTGCCCCTCCTGCTCCCGCCATCAACCACACTATCATGACTACTGAGGCCCTCAGAGAGAGGGCGAGAGAGTGGAAGTGCGGAAGTCGTACGGAGAAATACACTGTCTGAAGTTGCAGAGTACGTTTTAACTGTATCTGTATACCAGGGCGTGCAATTTTGCCGTCGAAACTTGTCCCCACACCTGCCGGTACGCTGCCTCAAACCGACTTCAAATCAGTATACCCTAATTTCTAACAAATAGACCTGCCTATCTAGTTCTTCTTACTGTTGGTACTGTCTGCTTTCTACCGAAGAAGAGCTGTGGGTTGTCGAGAAGAACCAGCTGCTTCTTACCAATTTAACTATCATGGACGCCTAAAAACACTGTCCAGATGCTCAGCTGACACGTGTGGTTTCTCGTAACATAAGTGTTCCAGGGAAGAAAAACTCTTGAGTACAAACCAACATGGTTGCATATACAAACACACACGTTGATGCGCGTGTGTGCAGACTGATGTATGGCAGTTAGGAGTGACCAAATACATCGCCTTAGCATGTACACAGCTGTGATTGAAAAAATCACTCAAGTTTTTCGGATACGATATTTTACTTTTCACCCACCATAGGCACAGCTTGTAATATTAAACTTATCGTCCAATTACCAATGTGGTCGGAAACGAAAATATCATACAACTTGAACGGAAACACACGAATCAATGGCGAAGGTAAATTCATAAGTGATAGCGATATTGATATTATCTATGCATCTTTTTAAGCAACGGTGTAAATAGCACTTGGAAAACGTGGCCATTTGAGTTGCATGTTTTAACGCTCTTTTTTATGCGTACCGCAGTCTAATCATGAGTTTAAAAATGCTGCATAAAACCCACCTCTTATAGTCATTTTTTAAGAGTTTAAGCCCTCCTTAGGATCATTTCGTAAAAAAGCACTTTTTCGGTTCTGTTATTTGCTGATTTCGAATATTTCTTTAAGCTTAGCGTTTGTTTATAAAACACACTCTGCCGCTTATAAAACATTGCAGTAATGAGGAATCAGGTTACCTACTTGGCGAGTAACATAAACAGGAATACACTTACCACAATGGTTAGGGATCACGGACACGGGAATAAGAATGCCCCCTCATACAAGTGGTTTTTTGCTAATTTCCGATAAAATTAGGGTTAGGGTTAGAGTTAGGATAGGACCGTGGTTAAGGTTGGGGTGGGCGGCAGGGTTAGGATACGAGAATAGGCACCCTTGCAAAAATTTAGAGTAAAGCCCTCTGTATTAAGGAGGAGAAAGTCCCTGCTACCATGTTCCGCCTGGGTAGCACCCAAACGATCCTTACCCTAAAATCCGTTAGGTCTTATGAAAGAATATCGAAATGCCCACTAGTAAAAATATTTGTGAAATTAAAGTAACAGCTGTTAGAATACAAGATTTCGAGAGGCATATATTCATACAACTCAGGCATAGGAAATCAAGTTCATGTTTATCATTTCTACGTAAACTGCTAAACAAATGCATATATATATATGAGAAGATAAGGCGAGCACAGAAACCATGGCTTTATTGGCCTGGCGTTTCGAGAGCAGACAAGCTTCCATCATCGGAGGTGGGTTGCGTACAGAAAATCACAATACTTAGGGAATTTCCTTCGTGCTGGCGTGTCACCGACTCCCAGCGCGCTGCAACACAAGGTTTGGCGATTGTTGTCATGGCGACATCGTCTCTTCCTCATCCTTCGTCGGGTGTGGGGAGGGAGCGGCCTCGGGGTGACCGCAGCCATCGCTTTTGTTTGCATTCTCCGTTGTCCGTCATCCACGTATTTGGCCTTCCTGTTCCGTTCGCACCTGCCCATAACCGTGTGGACGGTGGTTGTCATGTCAGTGTTGAGGTCCGGCTGTAGGGTTCTGTCACTGTCGTGCTCTCTCCCCGAGTTCTCGCGTCTGTCTGCGTTAGGACCCAGAAGGCGGTCTCCTGGGTTGGCGTTCGCCGCCGGTTGTTCCATGTCTTCGTCTGTTTCAGATGCCTGTCTATACTCGTCCGTGATCCCCCTTGGTCTGGGTTTGACTACTGCCGTCTCTGGTCTGACGCCCCGTCGGTAGACCTTGCGATGAACCAGAACGTCTAGAAACGCGATCTGATTGTTGTTCTCTGTCTCCATGGTAAAATTGAATATCAGGAAGAACAGAGTTCAGTAGCACGTGGAAATTCGAGACCATTTCCCGTTTGAGAACGACGAAAGAGTCGTCCACACACCGCGCCCAAAATCTTGGCTTCTATGTTGCGAACACCAACGTCTCCAACCTTTAAAGAACAGCTTCAACAATGAAATCGGATAGTGATGAGCCCATCGGCGTATCTTGGATTTGCTCGTACACAGTCCCTTTTAAGATGAAGAAGGTTTGGAGGCAGTATTTAAGCGGTTGCACTAGGTGTCCCCGCTTGAGGGTATTATTTGCCTCCATGTATTGCCTGTCAAGAAGATCGCTGACAGTTTCAACTGCCAAATCATTTGGGATCGAGGTGAAAAGCGAGGTTACATCGAACGGCACCATGACCTCGTCTGTGATAATTTGCAGCCCTTTCAGTCTTTCCAGGAAATGGACGGATGAGCGGACCGTCGTATCGGAGCCCGAGATGAGGCAGTTCAGGCGTCGGAACATCCATTTGGCTAGGTTGAATGTGGGTTTCCCGCGCAAAGGCCCGTCGAGACGGGGTAGGGCACCATCTTTGTGTATTCTGGGCAGCCCGTAGAACCTTGCTATCGCAGCATCGGCCGGTTTGGTGGCCAGTCGTTCTGCCCCAGTCATCGTGCCATTATTTTGTAGCATGGTGAGCGTCGTATTTATTTGCGTCACCAGCTTCTTCACGGGAGTACGCCTGCCTGTCCTCCAGCAAGGCATTGGCTTTCTGGAGGTACCCGGCCTTGTCAAGTATAACTGTCGATTGCCATTTTTCTGCCGGTAGGATCACGATACACTTGTCCGCCTTCAGCGCCCTGAGGGAATCCTGCTGCGCACTCGGTATGACTATTCGCGGTTTGTGCGTCATAACCAGGGAGGTGACTTGTTGCCGAATGAGATTCTCTGTCTCGGCTGGCTCTTGGGAGTGTTTTAGAACCGACTCGATCGTGGCCACGAGGTTTACCGGGTCGGCGTCCAAGATGTTGAATCCGGCCGCATGCTTCAGCATCTGAATCTGCTCTGGCCTAAATAGCTTGGAGGATAGCTTTTGGACCAGTATATCATTGTCATCTTGTGCAATTGAGCTTAATTTCTGGTATTTGTCTATCAATTCCCTATCACGTCTCGACCTTAGTTCTCCGGGTCGCTGACCGCTGTGACGTGCAGTATGCAACCCACCTCCGATGATGAAAGCTTATCTGCTTTTGAAATGTCAGGCCGATAAAACCATGGTTCCTGTGAACGCCCTATCTTCTCGTTTATATCCTGGAACGCTCATTTTCGCTTCAATCAGCATAGATACTGCTAAATAGAAATATACAGTCCTCAAGTAGCTGTCTACCCACGTATGGGTTACATAGGTGACGCAGAATTATTACCTAGGACTTCACGTGGACACCGCTCTTTTGACTAGCTATCACCAAAATACTCTCTTAGAAAAATCACCGCTCCTTTGATGTAGTTATAAATTTCCCTTGCTTTCAGCTACTTGTTGCGTTGATAACGCATTATCATCACCTGCACGAAAATGCTCAAGCAAGACTAGGATGTATCCTGTGAATGCAGTGTAAAACCCCACGTATCCAGGCAGTCTGACTGAGTGTAGCAACTTCACTAGGAAAAATCTTACTAAAATTACAGTGCGTGACCTATCTCATGAAATGTTGGCGGAAATTCTGAAATGCGTTTTCGATTGGGAAGGATTACTTGATCGCGGTTGTGATACTAATTATCATAAGGTATACTCTTATAACATTTTAGACTCGGCAGGATGTTGGCTTTTAAATGCATTTCTTTTTAATCTCCTGTAGAAAGCGTGCTCGGTAAAAGATGACTACTTAAGTAGCATGCATTTTTCCCATTGATTTTCGATGGTTTTGAAAATTCGAATGTATCTTATAGAAACCACAAACAAAAATATGCTTTCTTTTAGTCAATCAATAGAGAATCACGTCTTCTTTATATTTTATACTTCCGGAAGGAGTATAATTAGGTTTTAAAAAAGTTTTCTGATCGCCGAAAAATTTGGAGCCTGGTCATTCGTTGCATTAGCGCTTAGTGATTAGACTCTACAAGGTGCATGCGTTCCGCGTAAAGAAAATCTCATATTTTTCTATGTCATTAAAGAGATATCATACAGCTTCCATAAAATTTTGCAATGGATGCGGACCATGTTGTACATTTCATGAGGAGCAGTGGTAAACGTCCAGGTACGATGCTATGTGAATGGACATATCGCGGTCTTAAAAAGTTTCAAAATTAGAAACTTTTTTAAAACCTAATTATACTCCTTCCCTAAGTATAGCATATAAAGAAAACGCAATTCTCTATTGATTGACTAAAAGAAAGCATATTTTTGTTTGTGGTTTCTATAAGATACATTCAACTTTTCAAAACCATCGAAAATCAATGGTAAAAATGCCTGTTACATAAGTAGTCATTTTTTGCCGAGCACGCTTTCTACAGGAGATTGAATAGAAGTGCACTTAAAAGCCGACATCCTGCCGAGTCTAAAATGTTATAAGAGTATGCCTTAAGATAATCAGTATCACAACCGCGACCAAGTAATCCTTCCCAATCGAAAACGCACTTCAGAATTTCCGCCAACATTTCATGAGATAGGTCACGCACTGTACTTGTTAGAAATAAGTCGTCAGGGGCAAATTGAGTTCTGTACCCCAAGCTATTATTGGGAGTTCAAATGAACAGGTCGACTGAAATTCTGGCCCTTAAGTCTGTTACTTCAAACCGCAGATCGTCGCTAGTCTAAACATTTGTAGGTATTTAAGTACGGATGGTCAGTACTGTGCGAAAGATATAAAGTAAGATGTCATGGGCGATGAAAAGTGTGATTGGTTAACGAAGACTACAAGGATTAGTTCTGGGGAAGGAACGCTGGTTGTGATGCCGAGTTTTCTGCCGATGCAGGCCGTAGACGCACTCACGCTTGCACGAGAGATTTACACACAAGGTAATAAACTAATAAAATGCATTCTGATCACAAACTTCCACGCGGTGTGCTGGAACTTGCGAGTCGAATTGTGTAATTGTGGCCTTTTCTATTTACACCTGCACACGATGTAAGTTGGTCTGTGACGTCCGTTGGAAAGGGACCCTATTTGTAGTTGGAGTCTGAGAAAAGACGTCTGAGACAGCTAAAGTTCTCCACTAAGATAGACCAAATATGCTTTCCGCAAAGTAGTTTTGATTGTCGCATATGTAAACCTTTGCATTTAGCAAAGTCGTCAGTGTTCCTCCGCGTGGGGACTTGACGATAGAAAACTTGGGATCTCGGCTCCCGGCGTCGTACACAGCCATTCATTTCCTCTTGAAAGTATCGGAAAACAGATGTCTGCTTCAGCCGAAATGTTTCCGGTTACGTCATGTCCGCCAGGAGTCGATGTTCATTTTTCAAGAAAAAACATTTTCGTTCGCCGTGACACCCTGTCACAGTGACTTAGGATTGTCTAAAACATTCGCTAGGTTGTTGCATTGATGTTCCGCTCATGAAGCTAATGTTTGCTAGTCGCAGGAAAATCAATACTTAGCCCGAGGCAAAGGTACTTTTAGGATGATTTCCTGGGGATAGGATATCAACCCTCAGAATTTTGCATTGTTGCATCGCTAAAAGCACACAAAAGCCTATTTGAACTCTCCCCTACGCATGCACTGATGCCAACATGTAAACAGTTTTTTTTTATCACACAGTTCCCCTCTCTTGACTCCGAATAAACTTTCATTTGAAAGGTGCCATTCGGAAGTTCTGGTCAGCTGACAACTCTCCACCCCCTTGAGTTAGTCAAAAAAACTAAATTTGAGCGTCTCGCGAGATTGACACCCGAGACCGGGAAGGCACTGTATCTGAGTCATGCTAACAGTTCAGCCACCGTCTAATCAGCTCTCTCTCCCTCCCCCGCGACTCTGGGTGTTTGGTGCGCGTAAGAGATAATTTAGACCTTCGGCAACACCACCACCTTCGGAGAAATGAACTACCAATGAAGGAGCGAAAACTGGCGAGAGTTGGAAAACGAGCACGAGCGTGCTTCACGCAGGCAAGTCTGTCTGCCAGAAAAAGAGTTCTCACAAAATATGGCTTAGAGTAAAGCCAGAAATCTTTTTTGTTCTACCACCAGACAGGTTCCGGTTGTGTCGAGAAAAGACTGAGGAAACGGACCATCGCATCCGGGACGCTCAAACTTTAAAGGACTCCGAACTCTGCGTGCTCGAGAGATTCCCTTCAAGGAATAAGTTGAAGAAAGCAACAATTAAGAAATAGATTTTAATATGGTTGTACCAGCAGTCATTCACAGACTGTCATTCAGCTCCGAGTGGTGTGCGCTTACGTCTACTTGGATGAGCTGGGTAGGTGCAAACTACCTGCGTGCACAGTAATAAAAGTCTGGGTGTTATTATAGTGTGAGTCCTACCTTAATTTTTGTTCCCACTTCAGCATGCCGTTCAAAATGTTGTTACGAGATTTTTATACTACGGTGATGTAAAGTGAAGAAGTGGCGTCACGATATCTCCTTCGACATGGTCTATTAGTGGAAGAAAAATCTTGCAGCAAGTGCGATGGGCCGGTGATGCACACGAAGAAGAAGGTCCTTGGGCAGAAAGTGTGAAAGAAAGAGTTGCCAGTCTGTTCAGTCAGTTAGGAAGGGCAGCGGGTTCTTCCATAATTGGGATTTGAACGAAAGACTGTGTTGTGTTTTGAGGCTCTGTGGAATTTTATAAAAAGGGCAATTGCAACCGTCTTTTAGGTGGAGATGCATCTGCCGAAAAAAATATGGTGATCCAGCACAGAATTATCGGTACCACGGCTCACGCAGTGATAGGTCATGATTCTTCGGATTGTCACAAGGCACCCATGTAAGGTACTTTTATACGCATAAGTGAGATGCGGCGACCTTCATCGCTATCACTGAACTCGAAGTAGAAGCAGGTTCAACAGTACATTCTGACAAATGGCCGGCTCCTCGTGGAGTTTCACAGCATTTACAGCAGTGGATGAACAACACTGGCGTATTTTGAAAGATGACGTAGACCCCTTCGTAGCAATCCTACGTGATCTTAAAGAAGCCTTTTCTGCTTACCTGTCGCTAGTTTATTCAACTTTAATTTTCTCGATTACAGGCGACGTATTTTAAATCTGATTCTAATTTTTGGCTGGTACCTATTAGGGTAGGAATCACACTATAGTAGTACTAAAGTCCGATCAGACGAGCAGGGACGAGACGGCCTGTGCGAAGATAACAAATCACAGCAGCCAAGAGGGATAAGTGACAGCAACAAGGGACACAAACAAAACCTTTGGAAGGAGGGCATTGTCAGGGGAGTGCGATAGTGTTGGGGCCAATCACGTAACCATCTGCCTGTATGGCCTCGATTTCCTCATATCGCAGGGGCCTCTGAGCACAGAAGGAGACGGACCTTTCTTGCAGAAAACAGTACAACTGCTAACCGGGCATCAACGGTGTTAACCATACTCAGCAGGTGCACTGTGATAAAACTTCACAGCACAATATATTTCGATTTTAAGAACCCGTACCACTAAAACCGTTTCATTTCCTACGTCGGTTTTAATGTAGGGGATTTTTGTGATTTATACCAATACGCAAAACTTCTCAGCCGCTCTGATTAAGTGTCAGGGCCGTATTACCCTACTTCTCTCGTCAAACAGAATCCGGCGGTTACTGACACTTATTTAAGCGGAATCCCAAACGGCCCCTATACGAGTTTTACGCCAGAATTGGCAGGTAACGAAATCCGATAGGGAATTTTATCTTTGTGAGGTTTTTCTTATTCTAACAAGTAAACACTCATTGGCTCTCTCAAGGGACGTTTTTCCAAAGTTGCGCTCAAAATTACGCAAAGTTCATGTATGTTAGTTCGGGGCCGAAAAAATCAGAAATCGCCGTGGAGCCGGCGTAATTTGTAGCGTTTATTGGGGTTTAGGTAAGGACAAGACCTAGTAGGAGAATTTTTAACAATAATACAATCCAGAGAGAG